CACCTTGCAGAAACTTTGTGACCAGTTTGCCTGTGTGTTTACAGAGTCCTGTCTCAGGGGCACCTTGCTTGTTCCCACTTGTCTAATTTCACCATTTCTTTTCTGTAGTTTGCCCTATGGACACTCCATTTCCTGCTCTTAATTCACTGAAGTATCAGGGAGTCAACTGATACATGACTGATGTTACTGCACAAACCCCCTCATTTCCCACTGCCTTCACAGGAGACCCTTTCCACCCAGATTGCAAATAGCACCCAAAACTGCTCCCTTGCTTATTCAGATCTCCATTTAACTCAGTAATTTTACAACTTTCCAAGTCATTTAGGATAGAGGGAGTTGTGTTGGAGGCTGTGTGAAGGACTTATGCTACTACACTACTCAATAGGGAGTAAAATCTGCCTGGTACTGTGTGGCAGTTAAGGTAAAATAACTGTGGGAAGTAATTTCTTGATCACCTGGCACACCAGAGTGGTGTTTGGAGTGGAGGTGAATGACCATGAACCACTGCATATAAACTGTGTGTGAAGTTCACTTTCTAACATTGGTCACTGAACTGCAGATGACTCCAGACCAGGTAGATATTTGTTAAGGTCTGTCTAGTGGCCCAGACTCATGGGGGAATGCAGCTAAACATGAAATAACTGAATGGAGTCATATGTGAATCTGGGAATTATCCTGGTAGTGTGGTGGAAACCCACTGAAATCTCCCTCATGCTTCAAGGTTCTTATCTGTGATCTGCAGCCACATGGTGTCAAAGGGCGACACATTTCAACCCAGGCATAATTAACATTTTCTAAGTGAGGCCTTTTGCTTCCCTCTGTCCCAATGCCAGAGCAGCTCTGTGAATTGACAGGTCTATCTTTGCTCCCAAACTAGTTGCAGCTACTACCCTCATGAACATGAAATCCCAGCTGCTACAGCTGGGCCAACCTCTGTATAAGAAGCTACTAAAGAGATCATTGCTTTCCAGATAGAGAAGGAGATGCTGGTTGTGCCTGTAAAGCCACAGGTAGCACAGGGGAAACGGGTGCGGATAGTCACTATTTTTTCTAATACAAGAGCCAGGAAGGGGCAGGTTTAAAAGAAGTAAATGGAGATGTGTCTTTGCACACTGTGTACATAACACTGGAGCTCTTGCCACAAATACTGTGGTTGTTACAAGATTAAATTTGTTGTTATCATCAATTAGACACATTCGTGGAAGAGAAGTCCATCAAAGACGATTAAATAAAGACATTGCAGCTGACTTAAGTTTTAAGTCTCTGTCTTAAGTCTCTGAGCTGCTCATCCTAGATGGCCAGAAGAAAATAGTCATTGAATGCTCATTCTTAAGTATTGCCCATTGGCCACTGTCAGGGCTTTGGTTTGACTAGTACTGCTCAGTTTGTAGTCTTATAATGGTCTGTATTTCATGACACTTCTCAACAGGGAACTGCGCTGACTGCCTCTTTTTGTAGCCTTTGCTACATTATTGCTGCTAACAAATGGATCATAGTGATTCAGTTTTAAAACACTCTGCTTCTTTGGGAAAAAAGGGCACTTGCAGAGAACAGGATTTAAAGATAATGACATTAACAAGATGCTTCTAGGAGAACTGATCAACCACATATTTTTCTGACAGACATAACGCTGTTGACAACTCTCTTTCTTAGAAGTGCACAACATGCATGTCCCAAGCTTCACTCATGTCAGTCTCTTTTTTTATTTGTTTAAAAGGAACAAAACTGTTTACGTGGGATGAAAATTCCATGCAATCTCTAGCTGGTTGTCACTGTAATCCACTCTGGTATCACAACATCACACAGCATTGCATCTTCTCGTCCAGCTTTTCTGGTGGAAAGGGTACCTTTTTATCTGAGGTGTTTTCTGTGGGGAGGTTTCTGGGCTCTGTTTTTGTTTCTCCCTCTGTTTCTCCCTTACTGTGGGAAGGCTTGCTCCAGAATCCTTTCCTGTAGTATTTATGATGTGAGACTTTGCCAGATAGACTTTTTTGCCTGATAGCAACTGGTACTTTTGATGGTTGCAGGGGTGACAGCTTCCTGTGCTTGTTCTTCACCCACGTGCCTTTCAATTTGCACCTGTGCATTGGTTCATGACATTTCAGTGTTCCCCGATCTGACAGCATGCTTGCAGATTTAACAGAGACCTGTTCATTGTGCAGTTTTAAGGTACTTCAGTAAAAGCCTTGCAAGCACTCCAAACCAAAGGCGGCCCCGTGAGCAGCTTCCAGCGGGTCCCCGTGCAGTGTGCTGCCCAGGCAGCACTTGGGCACTGTTTGATGGGACAGTGGCTCTATTCTGCATACCTGCTCCCCTGCAATTTTCACACTTCTCTAGCAGGCCCTTTCTTGCTCTGCTGCTGCTTCTGCCTCCATAAGACTGACCCAGCCAACCCCAAGCAGCTCCTGCTCGCCCAACAGCCTGCACAACCCCAGGCTTCCCACACACAGGCACAGGGATGCCCGTGCACAGCCCGGCTCCAACTGCAGTTTGGGACACAGCTGCATGTTGCCAGGCTAGGTTTTACTTTCATCCTCATTTTTAAAATGGCATCTAGTATTAGTTAAGGCTTGGCTTAAGTGCCTGAATCAAGGAATAGTTAAGGAAAGGTCTTGCAAATAAAGTCCAGGTGCTATCACAGACAAAGCTCCTCTGTCTTGAACCTGCAGCTCTCTGCTGGCCTTAGAAGAAATGTGCTACTATCTTATAAAGGTGTAAGTTATACAGACTTGTTACAAAGGCATTACGATAGCTTTGGCTTCTAGTTCCTATTAATCTTAACTGGAAGGGAGTGCTGAATTTCCCTACAGTGATTTTGGCGTTTTCATATTTGAGTGTTTTTTGCAAGGACTTCTTTGGTGGCTTGGTCAAATCATCATCTGTTCTAAAACCCAGCATACACTCTAGTATGTGTATATTGCTCTGCAATTTGGCTTCCAGCTGTCTGGCGTTTCATGCCCGAGGAGGGGAGCATGTATTTGCTGTTCCAGGGCCATGTGCATTTTCATTGCTGAAGTATTTGACATGTCTGGTTTGCAGAGAACTTTGGAACAACTTGCTCTGCCGTGGATAGCTGTGAAAGGACAACCCCAGAATCAATGGTTATTCAGGCAAAGCATAGAAATAGCTCTGCTTGGTGCACAACCCCAGGTCTGTCAGACAGTGGAAGGCACTGACATCCTATGGGAACAGAAGACAATGGGGCTGAACAATGCATTGGTTCAAGCAAAATGAACAGTAAGTTTGGCTTTGCCCTGAGCTGTGTGCAGGTAACAAGTGTGGACTACTCCTGCTGTGCACAGCCTGAGGAACAAACTCCTCATTCAGACAGACATAGAGCCCATGCAGTCAGAGATAGTCCTATAAGCAAGAGAGCCAGAACAAGCTTGTTTGATTGCTTGCATGCCAAGCATCACCAAAATATGAGAGGCTTCATAGGATGCTGGAAGCCCTCCTTTACCTGTGAGAGCCTGGATGTGCCCGGCAGGCACTGGGCTGCAGCTGGAGCATGAGAATGGAGACCTTGGCTCCGACAGTGTGGGCTGCAGCCAGAGGCAGCAGAGCAGGGACCTGCGGCAGGCTCTGAGCCTGCTGCCAGAGGCAGGACAGGCATAGGGGCTGCCTGAGGTGTGAGGAGCAGCCCCAGCTCCCTCCAGGGCAAGCTCTGGCATGCCTTGATCCTTTTCCAGTGGTTCTGACTAGCTCCTGCCTGAGGCTCTGGTTCTAGCCTTCTTCCTCAAATTCTGTGTCAATGAGATGTTCAGTCTTCAGCAACTGGTCTGAAGTCACTAACCTCTCCATGAGGTTTGTTCATCCTTTGGAAAACAGGATGGAGGAGGGTATCTCCTCAGAAACCTCAAGTAGAGCATGAAAGGCACTGGAAAGTAGGTAGTAGCCACACTGCTGGTGATGTAACTGTCTTGGGATATAAGCAGGGGAGACTAGACTCCCCAGAAGGGGAGACTATCTTTAATGAGATTCAGTTGGAAAAAGAAGATGGGTTTTAGTGCCCAGCCCTTCTTTCAGTAATGTGAAGGTGAGTCTGCATTCCCCAAAACTGGTTGGCTTTTGTAACCTGTACCTGTTGCTCTAACAAAAGGTTTTTCCCTTCCTAGAGCCTTTGTCTTGCCTGTGGAGGCTCTCTCGTTTGGGGCTGTAAGTTTGTCTGAGTCATTCAGGGACAGGAATTGCAGTGAAATTCTGCAGAGTACCGTCAGTTTTGTTTGTACCTTACATGACTGGAAATCTTTTCTCCGGAAAGAAAATTGGTTTTGGAAAAGCATCTGTATCCCAAGAAACTTGCGTCATGCTGGCTGTCTTCCTTAGCACAGACCGAGGCTGACAGACTTCTGCTGAACTTCTGCTTGGTCTCTTGAGGCAGCCCCATTGGGACATGACTGAGAAATGCTCAGAAATAGGGGAGGGATAGAAGGAGCTCTTCTTGGTTGTGCTGGGCCTGTTCTGGGGACAATGAGGGCACTTGCTTCTGGCTCTGAAAACTTATTTCCTTCCAGAGATGTGGAGCAATGAAATGTCCCCTGCAGTATCTCTGGATCTTGGTCCAGTATCCTGGTGAAAATCGTGCCTCAGCAGCATGTCACCATGACTCTGTGACTCTGCAGCACGTGTTCTTCCTACCCTCCTGCCTGTCTGCTGTTGCGTGCATGTGTAAGGGGAGGGCAAGGAGAGGTGGGAAAGGGACACTTTTCCCTACAGCTTGCCAAAAATATGATCTTGTCCTGACATGCTGGCTGCTTAGAGGAAGGCATGTCCTCAGCTCCTCACTCACTTGGCCACTTTTGCTGGGAAAGGAAAGGTCAAGTCGGAGACCCAGGACCTGGAGAGGTGAAGATGGGTCTAAAGGCACAGGGTATGGTTTGTAGCTCTGGGGCTTTTACTTTGACAAATTAACTAGTCGAAAATCATCTAAGAAAACAGAATCGCCCAACAAAGGAAATAACAATATATCCTTTTTGTGTGTGTTTTTTTTCCCCTTGCAGTAACCACAACTCTCTCCTCCTGGTCCGGGCATGCTAGAAAATGCAATGAAACAGCCAAGTCCTATTGTGTCAATGGTGGTGTATGCTACTACATCGAGGGGATTAATCAGCTGTCTTGCAAGTAAGTGAGTGTAGTTCTTGTGTCAATATGGAAATTACTTGGCTGGGGGAGAGGAGACCTCTGTGCAACTGCCGGAGGAGGTGTAGCTCTGAAATTCTGGCAGTTGCAGTTTGAGCTGTGCAGGTTCAGAAAGGGAGATTAGAGGGGTGGGGGAGGAGGGTTCATATTTTCTTTTTTGTGTGAGTCCCACTGTTCACTTTTCCTGACTCTTCCTCCAAGAATATTTTTGTCCTGGCTGTTTCTTTTCTCTTTCTTCCTTTTCTCCTCTGCAGCTTCAGGGTTGGTCCCTTTTGCTCTCCCTGAGCTAGGTCAAAGCTCCACGTCCCCCGCTGACATGTCCTCCCCTCTGACCAGGGTGGCTTTCCCCAGTGCACAGTCACCTTGCTCCTCTGACTGGAGGGGGTCCCTTGCTGAGACCTGCCTCTTACCTCTCCTGTCTGTGCCTCATGGGCCCAGAAGCAGCTTTAGCACACGCCTGTTCACCATTCTCTGCCACTTTGTGGCAGGATGTGGGTTGTGTATTTCTCCCCTTCAAATGTTAAAACCTGAAAAAAAAAAAAAAAAACCCCAACAAAAACAAACCAAACAGGGAGACTTACTAAATTATCCTTCAAATGATATTTCTTGGAGAGGTTAAAGTGGGGCTGTATAGTCCGAGGGATATGGAACGGGATGTGAGACCTTTTCACCTCTGGTTCAAACCTATCACAGACAGCAAGCCCAATAGCATCTCACAGCTCACCCTTCAAGCCTAATGGGGACTGTGAATGATAAGTGAAGTCTGAATGTCAATGTAAGTACCCAAAACACTCCTGTACCTGCCCCTTGGCTCCTGCAGAGTGAGCATGAGGTAGTGCCCTGGGTGTGCATTCACTGAGCAGATGCAGCTCTGAGCTCACCTGAGGACCCAGGTGTCACTGTGCCTAGCTTGGAGAGCTCACTGTTGTCGCCCTGCATGGCCCAGAGGCCTCTCCATGGCGATGCACAGCCAAAGGTATTTACATCTGTGGATGTCAGCCTAGTACCTCTGCCACTGTGTGGTGTGATGCTTACTAGACACCTCAGCTCCTCAGGCCTTGAAGGATGCAACTGAACAGAACCATCACCCCTCCTGGAAGGGTTGTGAGCTGGATTACTTAGCACAACTCCTCCCTTCTCCCAGTACTCCTTTGTTTTGACAGGGAGCAGTAGGAAAGACCATGTGGAAATGCATTCTGTTTAGCTCCCATGCTCTCACTTTCCAATGCAAAATCAGCTGTAGTGGTAAGGACATAGTATGAACAGTGTCTTCCAGTTTCCCCCAGGCTTGCCATTTCAGACATAAAAAGAGCTGGGTGGGACAGAAGCCAGATGCTGTGGTCCTCCGCTTCCACATGTGTGAAGTGAGAGCAGCCCTTGTACACCACAGACCCATGCTTTAGGGTAGTTGTCTCTGCCATTGGCTGCTTGGTGACACTGTACATTCATCTTGCCAGAGTTCCTCATCGGAAACAAAGGGGAAGCCCCACATGAATCAAATTCACAGCCACTATTCTGGTGTAGCTGTAGCCCCAGGAAGCCCCAGCAGTTCCCATCTTTCCATACTGGGGAGGGCTCAACCCTTGATGCCTGAAGGAGTGTATGAATCAATATCTCTGCCACAATGGTACCAAAAGCATAGATCTCAAGGCTATTTCTTTTGGGAAGAGCTTGAATCCAGACCAAGACTTTTCAAATTGGATACATTTCTAATTACAGCAAGAGTTACCTGAACTCCTGCCATACACAGCTATAATGGTAAGGCTCTATTTTTCCTAATGAAGGATACACATGGTCGTTGTCAAGTGTCTTCAGCAGACAGACTGTTTTAACCAAAGTAATTCCAGCCTTGTGAAGAAACAGTTTACCTTCAAACCAGGCTGCTATGATAGCTGATGAACAGAGAGGAAGCTCAGTGATGAACACCATTAAGATTTGATATGCCATGCGAAACAGACCTAATTATTTCATATCACTTGAAAGCCTTCCTTACTTGCAGATGGTAAAATTATTTCCTTTTCTGATGAGTCCCAAGATACCAATTGCTAAAATCAGATGGGAATTGAATGGGTATGTATGGAAGGGCAGCAAAGTGTTAACCAAAAGGATGTGCTTTGAAGGTATTCACTGTCACTGTTCAGCTGCCAGAAAAGACAGTTCTGTGTTAACAGGAACCCAGGGGATCCAGGTGCCTTCCACACAGTCACACAGTACAGTCGTTTCTGATCTTACTGCTTGAGATATCTGGATGTTCTGTCTCCTTATGTATTTTATCATTAACTCATAGACTAAAGATAAGAAATCCTGGGTTTTGAAGTGGTGTAATTTTAGAGTTTCTGGACTCCAGAAGACAATAATTAGTTATTGAGGAATGTAGAAGCACTTGAGCTGAACATAGTATTTCCCATAAAATTGCTTTCCTAATAAAATGGATAATTCTTGGGGAAGGCTAATGATGGATAAATAGACTTACATTTGCCTGCCTGCAAACTAGCAAAATGCTGAAACGTTTCACAGCTTCCTCATTACACCAAGACAGGAAATCTGCTGCTGTGGTTTGTGAAAGATGCACAGATTCAGAGGAGAAACTAGAGGAGGCAAAGATGCAGGCTTTGACTTGCATTTCTGAACTCTGTAACATGGGAGCCAGACTTGGTCCTGCAGCCGTGCCATGCCTCTGAAACATGAGCATGGAGGAGATTGATAGGTCCTTCTGCATACAATCTCTTCAAATGCCTTGGAGATCAAACAAGAGCTGCATGAGCATCCTGAGCCAGGAACAACACATGTGTCCATGCGCTGTTCCCTCTTTGTTATTCTGATTAGAGTCAGCAGGACCTTGGGGGTCTTCTGGCACCATATGCCAGCTTGCAGTCCTCCTTCACTGAGTGCTGAGGAGATTCTAGCACCCTGGCACCCATGTGATGTTACCAACCTTTCCAATACTATCTATCAGAAAACATAATTTTAGAGTGTTCTTCTTTGCTACCTGCCACCATCCTGTAATCAGCTTCCTGGAGTGGATTTCATGGTTTGCAGTTGTCCAGAAGCATAGGAGATCTTTCTTGTACAAGTTACTCCTGGCACTCTGGAGCAAAAAGAGTAGCTGGGTTCTCAAATTATTTCTTTTCCTGACGTGGCTCATGCCTGATTTGTTACAGATACCACCTGAATTGGCACCTGGCTTTTTAACAGTTTTCCCAGAAACGTGTTCCTCCTCATGTTTTAAATCCTGAGGAATGAACTGGTTGCCTCTAAACTCACCTCATCCATCCCTTTTTAATACACTACATCTAGACCTTGGACAATGCAATTTCTTGCACTGGGGAAGAGCCCAGAAAAGACTTGGAGCTGTTCCAGAAATTATGTCTTTTTTTGGATTGTGTCCTTGTATAATTTTGTCATTAATTAGAAGTAAATTCTACACATGCCAGTGTCAAAGGAAACCTGAACATGATAAAATCTGTGCTGTTATCTTGACTCTGCAAACAGACCACCTGGAAGTTAGATGGGAGAAGTGTGATCTGCCTCAGATACTCTGCAAATTTTCAGCATAAACCCAGGAAATGACTGAGCCACACACATACCGAATTAACTCCACAGCCCTAGTAAATTAAAAAGCCCCAGGCTCTTATTGACAGGAGAATTTCTCGACCCTTCTCCAGACCATTTTGTTCAGAGAGGCCTTACAAGTTGGCAGATTTCTCACCATAACTGTAGGGAAGTGGCAAGTCTGAGTAAAGCAAATTCAGTGCCTGCAGAAGGGATGCACACAAACAAGTCTCAAGGCCTTGAGTTGGGCTGGGACATAGAAGAGCAGTGGCTGGTTTGTTGTGTCAAGCTGAACATAGTGCTTGGGGTGGCCTCTGATCTTGGGCCTGCCTTGGTCCTGGAGCCCATTGGGTTCTTGGCACAACTTAGAGCAGTTTGAGGCAGCTCTAACCTTTCATTGCTGGGTGCCATACCCCACCGGGTTGTGCTGGTGTGTGTATCCCAGCAGAAATCCTCTTTTTCCCAGTTAGGTTTCGGCACACAATATCTACAGTTGGGGTCTTCCCAGCCAAACAGAGAAACAAAGCCAAGTGTCATCATTGCACAGTCCTTCTCTGGCCACTTAAACACGCTTCATGACTCTTGTGCAGTTGATGTAAACAAAATAGCTGGTTCCCTGGGCCAGGATCTTCCTACATTTCATGGGATCAGAAGATTTAAAGGGCTTCGTAGAGCAACACTCCCCCCATCATGTTGGACTGGTTGTACTTGCAGTAGTCAGGCTGAAGGATTTACAAATGCTGACAGATAAACAGACTCTCTGGGTTTGGGCTGACAGCATTGTGTTACATGAGAGAGTGAGGTCAGCAGCCTGCGGCACCTCAGGTGAAAAGTGAAAGTCTAGGAGAGAATAAAAAACAAAACAAAGCAAAAGAGAAAAGATCAATTCATTTTTAAACTGGCTGATGTGTGCAAATCACCAATTTACAAAATGACATGTTCACTTCCTAGAAGCCCATTTGCCTACCTCCTCCGTGTATATTGTTCCTGCAGATTTTGCCCAGGAAAGGGGAAAGATCATTCTGAAGGGTCAGCCACCTTGCCAGCTCCCCTGTGCTTTTGCACAGCACCATTCAAAGGAGTGAACATCAGGCTGATCTCCTACAGCCGTGGTCCTGCTTGCAGCACAGTTTGCCCAGCCCCCTGCGGTGTCAGAAGCTCTGCCATCCCTCCCAACCATGCTGCCGACTTGGTCAGCACGAGCTGCACATTGCGCAACCACTGGGATGTCACTGCCTCATATGAATGTATGAGCAGTTCTGTGGGGAGGTGTTGCAACGTCCGTGGAAATGAAGAGCCCACAGTGTTGAGCTAGGGGTGAAAATCTCAACATCCTGTTCCAAATCTCCCGAACTAGCCAGGACTCATTCACTGGGGTTTGCATGCTGTTTATCTTGGGTGATGAGATCAGGGACCTTTTCAGGTTCAAG